AAGCTGTACCACTTAGCATTTGTAAAATACACTGTGGTCCTTTGATGGCTGACCCCCTGGGAGTGTTTATAACTAGTGTTATGGTTTTACCTCTTCACAATGTGATATAGTTTAAGCAATAAGTTCTCACATAAGAAATTCTCCTATTTCTATGTCCAAAACTTTCCAAAGCTTACTTTCTAAACCTTTGGATTAAACACAGAACAGTTTATAAAATGTTTCATTCTTTCATCTGTGTAGAGAATAGTGATTTTCCTAAAGTAAAAGTGAAAGGAAATTCCTAACAATGAGCCCATTTTTGTGAGCATTTTAATTTAATTGAAAATGTTTTTTCTGAAGCTTCTTTCTCAAGACAACAGGATGTTTTTAACCAGACTTAAACAAAAAAGAAAGGATACAAGGCTCTGACATTCAGAGCAGAAAAGGTCCAGATATGAATCTCTCTTCCCTTTGCCATGGACATGTAACTTTCAGCCCTCCTCTCAGTGATCAGTTTACTGGAAATAAAAGCAATCTGGCAACTGCTCTTCTAAGGCCCTACTGGTGCTACATGACAGCCATAATGACTGCCTTGCTCTGTAGTGACCCCCTATGGCCAGATGATGAGTGAAAGACATGAACTTCAGAAGGGTTTCTCACTTCTCCTGGGCTTATGACCCAAATAACAACTCTTGGAGAGACCAGCCTCTTAAGAAGAGGGAGGGACTGCTGGAGGGATGTTTGCCAAAGCACAGGAATTGCCAGAGATAGAATATCTGCTTTGGGCTCAATAAAACAATATCAAGAAAGGAAAGGAAATTAACAAATCCACTTGCAAATCCATTTGTGTACATCTGAAGTGGACAAACTAATATAAGTGAAGCAGAGACAGAATGTCTGTGATAGAAATAAAACCACTTTACTGTTTAGAATAAAAGGACACTATAAAAAGTGAACATTATGCAACATTACCTTAAAAGACAATATACATTCACTGAATATAAAATTTATAAATAACATGGAGGAAAACTGTAAACAGTGCTAGAAAATTTAGCAACAAATACATTCCTTCTGGACAAGATTTTTCACATGGGTTTGGTTCCCTCCCCAAGTTTCCATGACTATCAGGAACAGCAGAGTGGCTCTATGAAGCAAGGACAGAGTGAGAGAGAAGGAGAAGCCAGTACAGGCAAAGCAGCAGCAAAAGTTTAGTGGATTCTAAAGATTTTTCTCAAGACTGGTAGCTCAAAAAAACCCATTTATTCTAAAAAAGACACAAAATTATTGCAGTTCACTAGATTTTGTTCTGTCCTTCTAAGCTATAAAATACCTTACAAGTGAGAGATACTTTCAGAGACTTCTGAAAGAATGGAAACTTGTTCCCATGGAGGCCTTTACTTTGAACAGTCCTTGTTGTAAAAAACACAACCGTATGTTTCCCATCACCGTGAGGTAGCATTTCACGCCAGCCAAGTATGAATGGGATACAGTGATATATTTAGGTTTGATGATCGTCCTACCTAAAGGGCCATATAACTTTTCAAAATGTGAGAAATTTAGATCTAAAATGGCAGTTTTGTCCCATAAAAAAGAGGGGGAAGCCTCCCACAAGAGAACTTTATTCAAGGTCCTCCATGCACAAATCTCTTGCTCTCTACCCCTCCTTTTTGAAAAATCAAATCAAATCTTTCCCAAATCTTCAATATATTTTTCTTATTGTTTTGTAATTCTAAAGGAGAAAACTCTCAACTAAACAAGGAAGAATATTCGTAAGTAAGAAAGCAAACAGCAACTACTGAGAAATTAGCTATGGATTTTAAAAAGTACTCTTAATAATGTTGGTATATTTAAAGTATGGGTGGGGGAAGCCCACATCCTGTACGTGTCCAGAGGTTGTGCCCACATGAGTTATACCATCGACAGTTCCTCTGACCTCAGGTTATGGGGTGAATTGAGGAGCATGTCAGAGGGGTGACAGGAAGATATTTGTGCTGCTGCAAGCCATTGTATGCTCCATAGCCTAACATTTTGGGGAGAACTTCACACCTGCCTCCTCACATCTCCATGCCTGGTGTTCCCACATATTGCATAGTCTGCTGTAATTGAGGGAGAGAGTTTTGTCCATTGGCAGGCAGAAGTGACTTAGCAAGACAGAAGAAAGGAGAGCAGATAGAAAGGAATCTGAGTCTGATTTAGAGCCTGTTTAATCCATTTAATGGCTCCCTCCCACTTCAAGGGAGCTTTCAGTCATGTTCTTAATGCAAGCACAAGCTAAAGCTTAGCCCAAGAAACACATGTCCCTGATAGCATGCACAGAAACAAAATTAAGAAGCCTCCCAAAAGAAATGTATTTTTACTGGATTCTTCCCCCTCCTTTTGGCTCCACATTTTTAAAAGCCTTAACAACTGTTTCTTGACACAGCAAGAGGAAAGATTTGCCAACAAACCCTCACTCCTGCCAGTCTAGCTGTCTGCATCTCAGAAATATTTTACTGTCTGCAATACAAAAACGGGAATACGCTTCATTTTCTGGTAATGCATCTGTTGTTTTGTTGTTTACAAAGCACATAGCTACATTACGTCCTACTTAGGGACACAAGTCCTTATAGTATTAGAATGCAAATATTTTCACAATAATTTGAGTGCAATACTGTGATGTCTCAGCTAGCTAAATTAATCAGTGACAGGTAAAATACACAGAGCTGCAGTTTAATTAAAATTCAGATCAACACTTCACTGCATCAAGGGACATTTTCATTTAGCCTTCCAAAGCCGTGAAAGGTGGCTGCAGCTCAAAGAGACGTCAGCTTTGTGAAGTTACCTTGAGCTTGAGGAGGGCCATCTCCAGCAATACCAACTCCACACGATGCAAACAGTGAGGGTGGTGAGGCTGGCTCCACTCTGACCTCAGTGACCCTCAGACATTTTGTCAGTCATGCCCAGCTTGAAGATATTGCTCCACTGTGCCCAAAGCCCAACCCCATATGCTGCAACAAGGGGCAACATTCTGACCTACCACCTGATCCTATGATGAGTGCTGTGAAGCACCCTCTCTCTCTTCTCTCCAACCCATAATTTAGGAGTAGTCACATGGAAGAGGATTTCTGAAAAGTGTTCCAAGTCTGAATCACAGAAAAATCCAATAGGCTTTCAGTGTCTTTTCTGCTGCATGGCCACTGAGAGCAGCTGGAAAAAGAAAAAAAACAAAACCCAAACAAAACACAGCAGACTTAGGCACCTCTTGCATCAACTCTTTGAAAATGCCCTTTAAAGTTCATGTTAAAAATGAAGTTACGCACTTTTTACTGCATAAATTCATCTAGGAAATGGGGCATTTCAGGGGATGTACATCTGGCAGAGGTCTGGTAGCACACAAAGGCCCTGATACCATTTTTAAGTTCTATCTCAGACACCTTTTCCTTTCCATTTGGCAAAGAGGTCCCAAACAACTCTCCAGTAATTGATGTCACTGACTGTAAAATGATGTATTGCCCCAAGCTGGAATCATTGCAATGTTTTTTCCTGCTGGTGGCAGCTCTGCTTTGGAAGTGGAATGAACTGAAGATATATGGAAACTTAAGATAAATAATCATAATAATATAGAAATGAAATTAAGCATAACCTCCCTGCCCAAGTCCTCCCCGTCCAAAACTCAGTCACCCATTTTGCCAGCAACCCCTTCTTCACCATCATTAAAAACTTAAAATACTTTTATTTGATAAGAAAAATTATATTATAGTTTTCTTAATAAAAAACAAAATAGAACAAAAAACTTCTCCAGTCAACAGCAAAGCACAAGACAGTACGGCTCCTCCTCCCACATCACAGCAGGACATGGTATGAGCACATGCACAGAGCTATGCTTAACAGTGCCTAGAGGGAAACACAGCACTTGACACAGAAGGAATCCTCTGGGCAGCTGAAATTTTATGATCCCAGCCAGCACTTATTAGGAGACCACTCTTCCTTGCCTAGCTCCCCCGCCCCCCCTTCCTTTCACCATATAAACAGACACAGCTAGCATAGCTGCAGGAGAGGAACCAGGGTGCAAGGAGGTACAGAGGAAACAATGACTGTAGCCACTATTGCAGATACACTGGAGCTTCAATATCTTAAAAACAACTCCTTGACTCGGAATGTCAATATTTCTGTCTTTAAAACACAATCAAACCATTCTTTTGTTCATAACGCCAAAAAAATTCCACAACCTGTCAAAAATAGCTTATGTCATTATGTGTATATACATCTTAGTTCAGCAAAACACTATTTTGGCAACAGGTTTATTTTTTTTTTTTTTAATAATAAGAGTTCTATCAAATCTCCCCTTTCCCTCTTCCATGTGATTGATTTACAGCTGGTATTTTTGCATCTGTTTGGTTTAAGGTGTTCACGAGCTGGTTTTGCTGTTGAAGCTAAGCTGCAAAAATTTCAGGGGCCAACGCTGCTCAAAACAGGATGGCACAGCACTTCATCTACTCTTGCTGTAGGTGGATTTACCTCCCTGAACATAGGGGATGGGGCCTTTGTTTTTGAAACAACAACAAAAATACAAAATACTCTCTCTTTTATTCTGAGGAAAGCCAGAACTTCAAATGTGCTGTTGCATTCACACTGTGACCGAATTAGCTAATCAGTCAACAATGCTTTTACCAGATGATGTGGTCACACACACCAGGTGAATTCTCCCACTGCTGGAGTCAATCACGTTCCAACCTCTCCCATAGAGGAGGATTTCTTTTGGACGTCATTTTTTTCCAGAGTTTAGGGTGAGTTTCTTTTCAGTTTGTTTCATTTGCCAATCTGATTAATGGAACCTGTTTTCCTTCAAATACATTTGCCTACCTATTTTCAGCACTTGGTGCACGAGGAGGGGTGACAGGAAGCCAGCGCATAGAAGAATACAGTGCCTAATTGGCATAGTTTTTAGATTTTTGTTTTCCTAAAAAAATAGAGATTATATTGCTACAGCTAACAATACATGTAAGAGAGCAAGAGCTCCATCTGTTTTGTTTTGGTTTTTTTTTCTTTTTTTTTTTTTTCCCCCTCCCATTTTTCCCCTCTGGTGTGCAAAAGTAAGCTCCCAAATGTCATCTGATCAAAATGAGTGGTATCAAAAAATGGAAAAGTTGATTACAAATTCAGTAAGGTAGCACAGACTTTTTTTCTTTTCTTTCCTTTTTTTTTTTTTTTTCCTTTTCTTTTTAAGTGTTCGAAGTGCTAAAATTTGCATGAAAACAGGCACTAATTTCATTGTCATCATCACGATCTGGTAAGAGTTAGTGTCCAAAGGAAGATCAGCCACAAGTAAGGGAGAGGGGAGATAAGGAAGGGATAGTGTGCTCAGGGATCTGTGGCATTGATTATCGTTTTATCAGGAGGTGCCCATCCTCTGTACCAGCTGCAGTAACCTTCCACCCTCTGGATGCAGGCATAGTGCTTCGCTTGGTATCCTGAGTGCCCGAAGTTGGAGAGCATGTCTGTCCAAATACACTCATTCTTGGAGGTGGCAAAGCAGGGCAGATAGTAGCAGGGCCTAATCTGCAATTGTAAAGAGCAACCAGGTAAGGCTACATGGAAGAAAAACATCATATAAAATGTCTTTTTATCAGAGACAAGGCATTCAAAATTCCACTCTCTCAACCCTTGCCTGCTTAGTAACCCGAAAGTCAGCCTCAGTTTCAGTAAACACCTGAGGAAGTGCCTAGCTTCACATATACAGGTAATTTTAGAGTCAAAAGGGCTTTTCAGATGCAGAAAAGTTGAGCTTTTGTGTTTTTGCAGGCCTGGGGCCATGAGCAAAAATCTTAGGGCCAGTGCCAGCCTGTGAGGTTTTAAGTACTCAAAATATTTACACAGGAAAAAAAACTGAATGTATCTTGCCCAGCCTCTGGTACCCAATTTCATTCACCTGCAAAAGATTCTGCATAGATTCTGAAAGCCCTCCCCCAACCCCAATTAACTCCAACAGGCTATTAAAAAGTCATAGACTCCACATTTTTATTTCGTCGTCTCTTCTCTGGTCTCAACAGTAAAACAGAGCTTTATTTTTTTCCCCTGTAAAAGTTGTTGTCCTCCATTTCTCTTCCTGGCTGTTCACCAGCATTATTGGTATTACCAGCCAGGGGAAAGAGAATTCTAGGGCTGAATATCTTAATGCCACTTAATTAGAGACGCACATACCTTGCATCCACAGCCCAGATGGTAACGATGATTCAGTCCTTTACGCTGGGACAGAGTCAGCCGGTCCCATTTCTCATACCAGTTGCACAGGCCAGTGTAAACCTTCCCCTCATACACACGGCCTTCAAAACAGAGACATGGTCACAAGTTAGCACTTCACAGCTCGAGCACTTTTCTCGTTTCCTGAAATTGCTAATGCTCTCAATATGTTTGGCTTCAGTCACCGCTCAGCAACTGCTTTATTTTTATTAACTGGTTCAGGAATCTCTGGCCAGCAAGATTGCAGCACTTCTGCAAGTTAGGAGTGTTGTGCCAGCTGGAAGCACCAGCAAAAACATGCAGGTGAGCAATGCTATCAAGCTCCTCTCAACAATAGGGTAAAGTGTATTGACAGCTTCATTAGAAACAAGTCTTGGCCATTGTCACATCTCTATATTCTTTCATCCCCCCATCTCAGCAGCCTGCATTTCTCCAGCTCATTCCAAAAGGGAGCTTCCATTTCTGGTGCAGGCGAGTAGCATCCAGTTCCCTGTGACAGATAGGCCAGCTCAGGTATGAAATGACAGCTGTGGACTGTCATGTAGCATATTTGTCACAGCATCTCTGGGGTAAGAGATACTTTAGGAAAGAGAGGGGAATCTACAGAGTGAAACGACTCTTAGCATTAAAGAGTACTGAACACCAAAACACTGTTGGCTGTCTTAACTCTTGGGAAGCTGCGTGCAGAGCTCTCTACACAGCTGCCCATGTCTTTAGCAGGTATATGTATACCACAGAAGAGGCTTTGATTATGAAGAAGCACACTGTCCTTTACCTGTAATCAGATACTGGTACTTGTTGACCTCCAGTTTCACTCCACAAAGACTCTCAGAGGCTTCTGTGTAGATGTACTGCACATGTGGCATGATTTGAAAACCCCTGTACATCTAGAGAAAGAAAAAAAATGCTATAAGTCATCTTAAGATGACAAATTTTCTCTTAGATTCTTTACAATCTATGTTCCTAGATGGCGGTGGCAAACAGTGAACTTCAAGTGTTTATAGTGGTGAAGGACTAACAGCACTAGCTGGACACTGATGGAAGTCTCCCCACCACATCTGCTGGTAAAGTAGAATACCCATCTACTAGCAAGCCATTGCAATTCAGCACAGGGACCACTCTTCCCCACTCACATTAGTTCCAGTGGCACCGAGTGAGCAAAGTGCCAACACTTCAAGTTCTGCCAACATCCTGAACAAGTTTTTCCCTTATATAGCTCATAATTAGGGAGAAATTAAATCAGTTCAAGTTTGGAATCTTTGTCTTTCATGTGATTTAAACAATTTATTCCAAACTAAGGGATTTTTCTCTTACACAATGACCCTATTTTCCAGTGTTGCTGCTGTAAGAGTTTCAAACCTTTGGCGCTTGATCTAAGTCATCAAGCCAGACACCTCCTCCTCAAGCGCCTAGCATTTGCAACTCCTGCTGACCTCAGCAAGGATTTCATGTTTCTCTAACTAAATGAATGCAGAAATAGAATGCTACACCACCTCCTAAAATTAGCCCAGCACTGATGGGCGCCATAAGAAAATATCACATCTGCATAGGTCCTCTACACTCCTCCTTCTTCATAATGTTTCTTACAGTTCAGTTGAATTGAAATATGAACCCACAGACATACTGGCAGTTGGATTCAATCAGAAAATTAGCATATGTCCCTATCTGACCTGGCCTTACTGCTACAATTCAGGGAATCTCATGCCCACCTGTCAGTAGCATAATGAAGTCTGTGCATAGCAATGAAACCAGCACTGCATGTGAGCATTGGACCCAAATAAAACATACTCTATTTTTGAAACACTGAGGATGATTTTCCCGAAAATTTCATCTTTAAAATTTGGTTAACTTTTCAAAGCACATAGCTTTATTGATAGAGAGCACATTCATGTTCAGTTTAACTGTAAACATTAAAGTGAGGCAAAAGAGGACAAAAAAATCCCAAACAATCCCACAGCTATAGATCCTTGCTTCTGTGTCACCCAAGCTGTGGTATTCTCCAGGCTGTATCATATGTCTTGAAATCTCCTACTATCTCAGAGTATTTCACTATTCCCACACCTCCTTTAAAAACAACAAACCTCCTCCTTTCTGAAAGAATGTCTGTTGATTTAATGCATTTTATGCTAGGCCCAGATACTGCACATAAAAATATATTAAAAAAATACTACTAATTCTGTTATGCCGAGAGCTCAAATTGTCTTCTGGGCATCCACAGAATGTCTGCTAAGTTTTTTTCTCTCCTTGGTTATATTACCACAATCAGCATAATATTATACCAGTATCACAACTTGGTAGCAGCACTGCTGTGTACAGTGAAAGACATGCTAAAGGGTTTGCATTTTCCAGCCTTCCTTCTACACCCAGCAAATATGCAAGGAAAGCGTTTTTGAAATTAATCATACTGTATCAACAAAAGCTCGCAGATCATGTTTGGAATACACCATTGTGTCCATAAGTGAGCAAAGTCTTTCTATGAAAATGGAAGAACTGAACCTTGCCTAATCCCTGCTTTATCCCTGCAATTTTCTTAGTATGGGATGACCTACTCATATTTTCCAATTATGCACAAGACTGTTGGAGATCTAGGTTCTGGCACAAGCATCATGTCTGTTCTAGGTAAGCTATTTAACCCTCAACACACTTTTTTTCCCTATCTGTGGAACAGCTCTGCCTTGCTTCCCAAGGAAAGGGAGGAGAGGTGCAGAGAATAAAGATCATGTGTTTAGATCCCATTCTAGTGGATGCCGCACCCAGAAGCCACACTAACAGTATCTAACCAGATAAGACTAGCTAAGATAAGGGCTCTGGGTGCCCAGTCTCTCCAGGCAGTGAATTATCTACACTGCAGAGAGCTGTATGCTGTGCACGTGCAGTACAAGCGACCTGTTACTCAGAGTGCTAAGCTCCAAGTAGCCTTGTGCTAATTAAGTATCTGAGCTATAAAGTCTACACATGCACAGGCACATTTTGAGTCCATTCTACCCCCCTCCCCATGCAGAAAGGGCTACAAGCTAGACCAATCATTCCTCCAAGAAGCTGCTCAAGCCCTTCCTACAGGAAGGTCCTTCCCTTACAGTTGCTACTCCTCGCACCTTCTGCACCATCAAGTTCAACATGACTGCCTATGAAGTAACTAGCGATGCAAACTGGGGTTTGGTTTTCAACTCCTGGAACTCATTTCCTGTTCACATGACCATCAGGGACACCACTGTCAGGGTTGCTGAAGCAAGCATGCTCAGTCTCTCAAAAAGCACTTCAGCTCACCCCTCAGTGACCCTCATCGATGCCAGCAACTGTCATGCTAACCGACCCAGTGCTAGGGGCAGACAGGGAACACCACATCTTCTGATGACTAACGAAAATTCACAGTGACCTAGGTTCCCAGAGGAGGAAAAAGAAAATTTGGCAAGGGGGAACCTTCTACAGATGTGCTCTTTCAAAACAAATAAAACAGTACCTTAAGAGTTATTTTCGGATACACAAAATATCCTGGAAGTGCTATTAGCCCAGTCAGAAGAAAACCAACCATAAAGCCAGCCCCTCTCCTAACTGCTACTCTTGGAGTCCTCCTGCCTCCACAAATGTGTATTTTCAGAATCATAATGACAGGGAATAAAGTATTAGCAAGCATCACATGGTGGTGTCTGCTAGTGCTGCTCTATTTCCAGCTGTGTCAGCATTCCCCTTAACAGCCTCCATGCTGCCTCAGAAACGCACATGCAAATCCTTTGGTGGTTCCTGCTTCATGATTAACTTCGCCTTGTGATATGATGTTCCTCCCTCCATCCCTCCCACGTGAGGTCACACTACACACCAAGGCTTAGAGTCATCTTGCTAACCTTCAGCTACCTAAAATTTAGGTGCTTCCTATGAATTTGTTCTCCCTTCTAGTCAAATGTCAAGAATGGGCACCTCCAGAACAACTCAGCCCATCCTAAAATAGCTGTCTGCAACTGGTGGGCCAAATTACACTTTGGTGGTTCCTGTCTCTCTCCATTGACAATCAACAGAGCAAGAAAGACTCAACACCTCATTTTAGTCTGTCTAAAATTAAACTAAATTAATCCTACCCCACTTCTTTCCTCTCGGGACTATCATGTTTCACCTCGTAGTCTCATTTTACAGATTAGCAACAAACCCAGGAAAGCTTCCTCGCTTCTGGCAGTCTGTGCCAAGTGCTGCCATGGTCAACTAGGACTGTTTGTGCACATGGAGTAGAAATATCTCCCTGTTTCCTTTGCAGCTTCCTGAAATAGGTTTAGGCCATTCTCAGAACGCACTGCAGAATCAAAGAACATGCAGGGGTTAGATCAGTCCCGTGCAGATTCTGACACGTGATCTTGAAATGTTCTTAAATTATTCGAGAAAGCAGTGGGGGGAGACAGAGATTGCCTGAAAATGTACAAGGCCTTCTCAGTTAACAAACCTCAATGCTAAAAAGCTCAGCACTGTTCTGTGCCTGTGGGCTGACCCTGTGCTCCAGTCCAGGCCCCTAGCTGGTTTAGTTGTGAAATTCAGCAACGAGTTCAGGAGTGTTAGAGCAAGAATCAGCCACAGCAAACTCTGAGGAACCCGTGAAAGAAATACAAAGACTGTTTGTTGCCTTTTAAGGATCTCAATGCTTTTTGCAGGTGGTTCAGTACACTCTGATAGACTAAATGGCTTATTTTTCATCTGCAGGTGCAGACGGGCTTACAGGTGGCCAAAAAAACTCTGATATGTTAGTTTTAACTTCCAAGTTGTTCCCATGTACCTGTTCAGAGCCATAGGCCTCCTGAGTTGTCTTTGCAGCAGGAGGACAGTCAGCTTTCATTGGGGTGAGCAAGGGAGAGACTTGCTGCGTCCTTCTGAGTTCCCTCGCTGTATGGACCTGAATCCCTCTTTATACTGAAGTCTCTAAGCTCAGCAGAAAGACAGCAGGGTTTCAAAGAGCCACTTGGCTTGTTTGTTTATCAAGAACTATGTCCTCCGGACATTCCAGTTCTGCTGAGCACTTTGACTGCTTCAGGTTCCTCCCTGCCCAAGGTCACAGTTTTATGTGCCATGCAACATCTCACCAGCCCACCATCTATGTCACAGACACAGAGGTGGTTTGGCCAAGACACAATTTCCCCTTTAAAATCACTCTTGCTTTTGTTGGATACGCAGCTTCCTAACAAAACGCTGTGGGACCGCTCCTGCAAAAAGGCAATTGTTCTCTTGTGGTCTCGGCACGAGGACACTGAAGATTACTGCAGTATCTGCTGTAAACATCCTGGCTGTGTGCTCCAGAATAACAGCAAGGAAGCAAGAAAAACAGGCAGGATAGGCTCAGGCATCTTATTTAGAGATTGACACCATGGTATGCACTGACAGTAGAGTGGCTGCTGCTCCACTCAACATGCTCACCTCGCCTGGGCTTACATTCCTCCCCATGCCAGCAGACACCCAGAAGCTTTTTCTCTTCCTAACAGAAACAGTGCTGCATGCTTCTAGATCAGAGGAGGAATGCTTAATGCTGTTCCAGAGATCTCTGACACGGCAGCTCACTGGCTTATGATAGGGCAGGCTGCATCATTAGTTAGGAGAGAGGCTAGCATTATGTTTGGTGAAGAGTAGTAATTAATTTTGGGGACTGCTGTTATTCTAGATCACTATTCAACCCTGTTCACGGTCATAGGTTGGACAGGAAACACACAACTCTTGCAACTGAGTGGAAGGGAAAGTAGGGGTCCTGGACAGATCAGGATGGAATCAGAAAAAGAAAAGCTGATGAAGCCACTGCAGCCATGTGGACGTGGAGTAGTTTTGTGAAGTGGGCTACACTTGCTGAGCTGGAGAGTAACAGAACCAGGTAAGTACAGCACACAGTGCTGCAAGCCTGAGAGGCCAGGGACAGCCATCCAAAAAACCGAGTGGCAATCTCATTGTTGCCAACATAACCAGTTGCCTTTTCTACAAATACAAGTTAATCGACAAATATATATTTCCTTTTAAATCTTGGAAAGAAATTTTTAAGATTAAGGAAATTAGTAAACCCAGCACCCCATGCCCTCTTATTCAAAGTGCTAGCATTCCACTCTAGTGGAAGAGCCATGCCAGGACCAGATTTGGCTACGTGTGCGGTTTTGCGACAGCTTATGAAACAGGCTTTGCATCTCCTCCGCCCAGATTTCGTGCTTAGCTATAAACTGCCTTATAAAGAGAGTTACTGTTACGAGGCAGGCAAGTGACTATTTTTTTTCTGAATCTTTACTTTGTCTAATATGTTTCAGATTTCTGCAGGCTCTGCCAAGCTTTTCCATTCCTTTTTCTTTTTTTTTCTTTTTTTAAAGACATAAACCAGTCTTATGACTGGAATGGCATAGCCAAGAAAAACAATCTAGGGCTGAATTTTAGCATTACATAACACGGGACTCAGTTTAAGAAAAAAAAATAAAAACCTAAGTCCAAAGCAGCAGGTTGAGTGCAGTTTGTCCAGCAAAGAATTACAGCTCTGAAGAGAGGAACTAGGGAAACCAAGCAACTGGTGTAGGACAACTTATCTCTTTTCACCTCTGAGTCAGTACTTTACAGCTCTTCTGAGCTGATGATATTTGAAAAAGACAGTGTTTGATATAGCTTTTTAGAAAAACTTTACTAGACAAGTTTCATTTGTTCTGCACATGGAAAAAAATGCCATCATTCTAACTGGTGGTCACAAAGAATGCAAGGAAAGGAGAGATGAAAGACCACTCTCCCCAAGCTGGTAGACCCCCTACCACCACCATATCTTGAATTTAATGAAAGTGCTGCATGGAAATGCTTGTATTTCCACGCTCTAACACTATGCTGAACACAAACACGACTCCAGTATCTAAAGAAAACCATCTGGCATCTTTTGTTTTTAAAATTTCTGGTAATAATTCAAGTATTATACAGAGTATACTCTGTTAGAGCTCAAGTATTCAGCACTGTGTGTCAGGAATGACCTCTTCCTGTTCCTTTCCCCTCTCCAGGCAAATTTTTACCAATTGCTGGTCACCTTCCAATCTAACTGATCGATACAAAAAGTTGAAGTGCTATTATTTTTAAGTATGCACACTCTGTTTCTTACTACATGTTAGACTCATTATCATTACTACAAGCCTACGTGAAATGCCTGCAAACCTACCTTCATCTGTTTGACTGTGTATCGCATAGTTCCAAATGGTCCATCTTTCATGAGCTTCTTCCCCACAACTTTAGCTCGGATCACTGTCATAAGAGAGGAAAAATACAACAAATTATAAACAACTTTAGTCAATATTTAGGCTAGATCCTCCACTTCAAAAAATCCACTGAGATAAATTATTCTGTAAAATAAAACTCTAGGCTGATCTTCCTCTCAATTTATTCTAAAGCTCACACACAAAGGCATGTAAAATAGGATTCCAAAGCAAGTACTTATTTAGAGGAAATCCAGTTCTGTGTGAAGAATACAAATAAGCATTATTTATATTGAAATCTCATTGAAGTCTACAAAGCAGACTATGGCTGGGACCAAAACAGGTTAAAATCTTTGCACCAAAGCCACTGGGATGAAGTTTGTATTTAATGTCTTAGCTCTCAACATACAGAATGAAGTTCAACAAGATACTACATGTAAATTGTTCTTTGAGTGCCTGGTGCAACTTCTTTTTCCAAATAACCACAACAATACAGTACAGTGCACTGGATTATCCCATATCTGGGAATTTCACTACAGCTGCCGCCTTTCAGATACCACAAAATTCCCAACAAATGGCTTCTGTGCAAAAACAGGTTATTCCCCAACCATCAAGTCCACGGTGAAAGCTGCCAGGCCAGCCAGAAGCCATCTGGCAAAACACAGACTAAAGGTGGGCCATCAGACCTTACATACACAGCACTTCATTTCTTCATGGATAGTAAGGGGCAGTGCCTGTGCATGTGTGCACACAGCATCCAGCCTGACACAGATACCTTCACTGTACCACAGGCATACCACAGCAATGCCAACTGAGCCCAAGCCATCACAGATAAGGATTTTGAGGTCTCTCAGATGGATCTAGCTGGTACAGTCAGTACTTAATGAAGAGTTCTCCTGTTCACCTATTTTTTGATCATTCCACAAAAAAAACTACTGTTCCATCAATCCTCTTAGAAAAGGTTCTGCAGTCAGCTGCTCATCTCAGTCAAGGAGCAAAGCTTAGTGACTGGGCAGGCTTTACTCAGCTAAAGTCCAGTCCCCTAGAACAATTATATCACGTTATACAAGCGCCAGAAACGGCTTAAGTTTTTACAAGGACTGCAGAAAATGAGATTGGAGAAGACCAATCCTGGGAAGAATAAGAATCACTGTGAGAAAACCCTGTACCCCAAATGGCACTGAAACAAACAACAGGACATAAAATAAAATAAGGAACTCAAAATTCCATCAATCAAGAGAAAGATCAAAACTTCAATGCAAATGTGCAAATCTTACCTAAATTCTTATTCATCAAGCTTCTCATTACAAGGGCTATGAAAATTATTCCAGCAGAATATCCAAAGAGTGCAATATACTCATAACACAATTGACAACGTATAGTTAGACATAAATCCCCCAGAAATCTGGGGGGGGGGTTTTGTGGAAGAGGAGCTATCAGCTATTTTTGCATAAAGCTGATATCTGTATACCACTGCAAATAACATTCCTCTGCTGAATATATGGCCCAATAGTTCCAGACTACTGAAATCCAGCAACTAAACAGGACCACATACGTGATTTCTTCTGAGCCTATGAAGATCCTGATCCTAACTCCCTGCACAAGAGAGAGGTACTGCTTTCACAGCAATAATTTCCAGTATTTCATCTGTGTTTTGCTGAATGTATCATATTAATGCATTGCAGAAAACAATTCATTAAAAAGCAGGAAGGCACAGAAGGAGACAAAGAGGTGGAGGTACTCCTTTGCAAGCAGGAAAACCCAGCAAGTTATTATTTCAATTACAGCACTATCTAAAAGCAGCAACAAAGTTCAGGGATCCATTTTCCTTGGTACAGAAAACATTAAACAGGCCCCTTGTTGCTTCTTAGCTCATTTAGTTTTCAAACAGCTGCAGAACCCCACTGGAAGAAATGGGACAAAGATGAGGTTAAGGTTTTGTTCAGTACCTAGATCAAATTAACAAGGCAAAAATTTTGTCCCAACTTTCTGAATAATATGAAGAACAGATTTAAAGGAAGAGGCAGGTCTGGTTATACACAGCAGTTCCTGGAACTTGTTCCATAAGGATGGTGTGAAATGAAGACAAACTCACTCTGCTCTGATTTATATCCTGTGCTTCAGCCAAACTTGTCAAATAAACTTTAAACTAGGTAAGACAGTCCTCCTGGCTTTAATTCAAAGGACCAACAAAACCTTCATTCATTGAGTGTAAAACCTCATTCTCAACTTTTTTCAAACTTCTATTATCCAGTGGCAGTAAAATCCAGTATGATTTTATTGATTCTTCTATTTAACAAGTTGTTCAGACTTCAATTTATTCTCTTCTTCAAAATTTAGTACCTATATTAAAGCATATCCTTAAGGACTGCAAATATCATTAAAGAACTAGGTTCTTCCATTTGCTGCCCCCAACCACCACAACCACAAGTGAAGCTTTAAAAACCAGACTGCCTAAGTTGGGTCAATGAGAAAACACAATTTCTGTAAGGCTTTGTGTATTCCAGTGCACTTCACTAATTGGGGAATCGATAGCAAAGGGTGTCAAGAGACTTATCTTCATCTACTGCGCATCTGATACACTGGACTTGGAAAATCTGGCGTTCGCCCAACACCAGGTTGCTGACATCAACAATGAATCCTTATCGACAATGATAAGAAATATACTAAAAGGCAATATTGCAAAACACTAGGGTTTCCAAAACAGTACACAGTCACATAAAAGATGACAGGCACATTCCCAATTGCTGACAAAATATCTAAAACCCCATTTTTTTTTCATGCACTTCACTGCTAGCTTGGCAGCCCTTTAACTTCTGGTTAGTGTAGCACAGTTGCTTCAGAAGGAAACCAGCTTTGATTTATGGCCTAATCAACAGCTTCACCACAGGACCGAAGAATAAAAATGCACATCCACACTACCACATAACAGCATCCTAATTTCAGCTCATGCTCAGAAGATAAAGATCATTGTTCCTTGTTTAGCAGAAGCCATGCATACTTGCCAGAGGAATTCTTCACCCTCTGCAAATTATCAGAAGTTTACAGCATTGCTGCTGTAAATTCAGTCCGTGCTATGTTAACAAAGCCAACTGTTTACTCCTGAGAACTACTGCTTGAGCAGAATCAGGCAAAAGGTGCTGTGACTGCTCCCCTGAACTCCTTCCTTCTCCCTGAAGCTCTATTACAGTCTTGCTATTACTGATGGGAAACTTTATCCCACACAAGTGGTCACCAAAATAGCTGCATATTTTTAAACCGCAATTCCTTTGATGTACTGCCTATGAAAATACTCTGAGATGAATGTTTCTCAGTACTTTGGGGTTTCAGGTCAGGTCACTTTGTGGGACTGGAGCAGCTGGCAAGGTCTCATGAGTGATCTGTAATTATTTATTAAAAGTTAAATTAGATAGGGATATAAATCTTGACAAGATAAGCATGGCAGCCATACCATGATTCAAAGAGGAGGAAACTCAAGCACTGCTTCTCAACATTTGATGAGATTAAAAAAATGAGGGAGAGAACAGAGAGAAATAAAACCGGATATTTAGTCAATATTCTAAAAATAAAATTATTAAGAAAATAACAACCTGCTGTGCTTAAGGATTCAAGAAATACATCTAATAATGTATTTCTTTTTTCTTTCTTTTTAAATGTAAACTAGCTTAGTGCTTAGGAAAACAGAGATGGCTCAGATTTGCTACAGGACTAGTACGGTGCAAGCAGCTAATGTTTTGCATTTCATTGGCATCTCTAGCATGGTACAAACTGTCTGCATGTGCATGTATAGACACAAATAAACACACACACAAAATAATTTCCTTCTTTTCCAAGTATCACTGAATGAGGTCTTAGAAAGGCAAACAAATCAGAATGGGCATAGAAGAAAAAGGCTCCATATGCACTTTTATTTGCCCAAATGTATGCATCTCTTACTCAAGTACTCTTGAACTTATCCTTTATTCTGTGGTCATTTTAACAAAGATTCAGAGGAAGAATAGGCCCAAAAGGTAAGATATAAAGCAGAAAAGGGCACTGGCTTTACAGATGAGATATCAGAAGGCATTCTGTTCATGAGGCAAGGAGCAGACAAACAGGCAATGACCAATGTGAGGGAAGTGGACATGTGAGATTAAGACGAACATTTGCCAAGCTGAGGAAACAACATGGTGGAAAAACTTATAATTACCAAATCATTTCATCCAGCTGCTCCGTCTGTAGTAGCTCTTTTTCCCAACTGAAAAGCAACGGCATCAACCACCTCAGTTCAACCAGCCCCGTGTCCTTTTTCGGGGCTGGCCACTAGGTGGTGGCACTACCACAAACCTCACCTTCCCTTACCGGGGGGGCTGGGGTTACCTGCATAAGCCAACACCACCAGCCCCAGTCGCATGCCCAACTGCACCACGAGAATCAGACGCTTTCGCGCAAGTGGGACTGTTGTCATCCATAAACAGCATTTTAAGCAGAGGAACACAGCCTTTCAAGACCAGGATTCACTCCAAACCCACTTCACTTGCGACTAATTATCATGAGCGGCTCAGAAGACAAGTGCTACGCTTCTCAGTACTGTCTCAAGGATTTATTTTATTGGTGTGCAATAGGAGTATTTTTAAGTGAGAGGTTTGGCCAACAGGCATGCTCACTGCACTTAAGTGAAGGATGTGCAGGATTCATGTTATTTACTAATGGAAACACAGGGGACAAATTAATCTTCCAGTCCATCCTTTGACATCCAGTGGTGGCAAAACAGAATATATGGGGAGCGGCAATGTGACAAGGAGGCTGAAAAAGGCTCCTTCTATCTTGAGGCCACTGACTACACCAAGAACTGGACAGTAAAAGCAACCCCCAACAGAATGGTGCCCTTGGAAATGCTGCTTTAACACCAGACATGGGACACGTCAAGGGGGATGGCTGCCATTTTATTAATCTGCACACTATACAAGGGCTCACTTCCAAGAGCAATTTACTGAGGACTTTTTACTGACTTTACCAGCAGCTCCCTCATTCAGCCAGTCTCACAAAGACTCCTTACTGTGCTGGTACATGCTGG